TCGGTCTCTACTCGAGCATTGTATTTTGATGGTTAGATGCAAATTGTTTAAGTTTGAGCATATATGTTGGTTCTTAAACCTTCACCATCTAAACGAAAAAAGATTTCCTGTCACATATTTGGTCGATGTGTGATTCAGATTTTCATCAGCTCGCGTTTTCGTACTATTTTCAATGTTTGCATTAGTAAATTTCGAGAGATATTATATATGCTCACAGTTGTTTGGAGAAGTGGGGGATTTAGTGTGCAGGCAGTGGGGTCTGCTGCCCCACACCCAAAATGTTCATGTAAATATTTAAGCTCCTTAACATCACCCCCAACCTTTTTAAGTTTATTTTGCCCCCATAGCTACAGGTTTTTACTTCAGGATTTCGCTCCCACAATTTTAGTTATAGAAATTTGTGCCCACAAATCTACAATTCTAGCTCCTTCCTTGGATTGGAGACTCTTATGGGTGACAGTGGAAGAAAGGTTTTCTTCAAATTATATTCTCAAGTAACTGAAGTAAGGGTCCGCTTGATTGCAAAGATGGAATTTGGGTAAAAAGGAAACGAATTTCAGGGAATTAAATTGTCTAAAAATTATTTTATTGAGAATTGTTAATTATTGTGTTTGATTGGTGTAATTTTTTACATGAAAAATGTTGAAATAAAAGTGTTTTTTGGTGTTCGTTTGATTTTGTTTTACATGAAAATTGTCAATTAAAGAAAAATATATTTTTTTTTTACAATTAAAGATATAGAGGCTGTTTGATGCATATTATTTCTGCATTTTTAGAAGAATTTTTACCGTTGAAGGGTCCAACTTGTTGACTTCTCTCTCACAATGCCTTGGATTTGTGTGCTCCAAAGGTAAGATTTCTCATTTTTTTTTTTGGACCAATAATGAGCTCCAAACAGGCTCATCATTTCTTTCAATTGTCAAAAAAATAAAATAAAATAAAATAATAATAATAATAATAATAATAATAATAATAATAATAATAATAATAAAACAGTAGCCTAAAAAACCATTTTGGAAACCAGGAAAATCAATTTCATCGTGTGTGTGTGGCGGGGGGAGGGGGGGGAGGGGGCTA